CTTAACTGCTGTCTGCCTCAGTTTCCTCAACTATAAAATGGGGATAACTGCATCTATCTCCCAGGGTTGTTATGAGGATCAAATAAGATAATATTTATAGAACACTTAGCCCAGTGCCTGGCACAGTAGATGCTATATAAATGTTGATTCTCTTCCCTTCACCCTAACTATCCCTGTAACTTTCCAAACCAAAATATCCCTTCCTGGCCACTACCCTTCTATATACGTCGTCTTCAATGTTTGGAATGGAAGGTTTAAAGATAGTCCCTCCCTTCAAGCTTTGGTGATTGACGTGGCACATAATAAGGGCTTGATAAACTTATTTTCAATTCATTCCCTCAGGAGATATGTCTAATTTCCCCTTAGGCTCAAGACTCTTTCTACATACTTTGGATATATTTTGCACTTACCTGTGCATCTGTGATCTCCCTTCAACAGAACGTGAGCTCACTGGAAGCAAGAATTCTTTGTAACACTAGCTCTTATTAGCATAGTGTCTGCCATTTAATAAATGCTTGAATAAATGAAACATCAGAGTAGGAAGAGTATCCTGTGTACATCACACGCAAGTGAGGGGCTATAGCAGACAGAGGCCCTCTGGAATCAACCAGGTTATTGGGCTTCTAGCTATGGCCTCCCCTCATCTACAGGACTGATTCAGTCATTTTCAGTCATGTCCTACTCTTCATGACTCCATTTGGGGATTTCTTGGCAAAAATACTAGAGTATCCTGTCATTTCCTTCTCCAGCTCATTTTACAGATGAAGACACTGAGGCAAGCAGAGTTAAGTGACTTGCCCAGGGTCATACAACTAGTAAGGCTGGATTTGAACTCAGAAAGATGAGTATTCTTGACGCCAGGCCTGGCTTTCTACCCACTGTGCCACCTAGCTGTCCACAGCATTGATACTTTGCCAGAAATAGCCTACCATCTTTTAAGAAGTCAGGAAGCTGAAGTTATCTTGGCAATGACCAAACCCACGAAGGCATTACAGCCATTACCCTAGGACAATCCAAGAAGATGGTCTGAATTTCACCATGTACAGGTGATGATTTTGCAGCCTTTAGGAAATCAGTGGAGGAAAGGGGTAAACACAGGACCTCTCCATAATGCTTGGTTATTGCACCAAGTCAACTTACATGCTGGCCTCATCTGACTCTGCACTCTTTACTGAAATGTTACTCTCATTTTCATTTGCCTGCACTCACCTCCTTCCTTAATTTCTCCTGACATTTTGTACATCAAATTAGGGAGTTTCATAAGAAGGAAGAGAACACAGCACATCACCTTGGCAACAGAGGTCAAAAGAACTAACAAATGGTAAACATCTGACAAGGAGGGTTTGCAGGCTACAAAACAACTGGTGCCAGAAATTCTCAGAGGTCATGCATATGGTGAGGTTTCATGACATCCCCAAAGCCTGGATACCATTTCTACTTACTGTGAAAAGACAAAGAAATAAATATATATCCAGGAGACAGACAATGAATAAACACACACACACAAATATATGTGGAGGAAGGGAGAAAGAGAGAGATAAGAGGAGGAGAGGAGAGGAAAGGAGATGGTTGGATAGATGGATGGGCAGAGAGACAGACATATGCTGAGAGGTGATTCTTTTAAATTTCACCAGCCACCTTAAAAAGGTTATAACAGGCAGTGATTTCTGTCAGCCTATTTCTTCAAATTACAAGGGTTTTGACCTGAGACTAGAACTCCTAACAAATTCTCTGATTTTCATCAGAGCTGAGTGTTTCACAGTGCCCTGTATTTCTGGATATTAAGGTGCTATGAGACAAACGTTTCAAAAGCAAAATCATGAACTTCAGAAAGTAGGCAAATACTGATCTGTTTGTTTTAGAAAAGAGCAAATTTTACCTCCCCAAAAGATTATTAACCAAGCTCCCCACAACATCCAACTCATTTATAACCAACACTTCAAATCCACCGTAGCAGCTGAGTGTAGGGAATTAGAGTGCCCTGGCTCACCAACCTCAACATGGTGCTAATGGAAAAGATTTTCAACATCATTTTCTTCGATGCTGCAAAACACTTAAAAAAAGAAAATGTAGTGAGATGCTCAAAGCCTTAGTGAAGAGGGGATTGTCTCCTCAGAAGAAGTAAAAATAAGGACTTCGGCACCCTGCAGTCTTCAAAAAAAATCTTTTCTAGACCCTAAAGAAAGCACTAAGGGCAATATAGAGAACTTGGGAAAGGCTGAAAAAAATGTAAAACTTAAGTATTATCTCGAGTGAAACTTCCTGAGGTTACTGAAGAGACAAGATTTCAAAAGTCAGCCATTAGAGAGGACTCAAATGTGTAGCAACTGCACAACGAACCTCCTCGACACCAAAGTTCCACTTTGGGCAATCAATCCCTCACCACATCACCACCATTGGTGAAGGTAGGACAGGTAAGGGCCATAGCATAGGGGACAAAAAAAGAAAAAGACGTTTGCTTAAATCTATCTTGCAACTCTCCCATGAACCACTGCCTGGCCTGGCAGAGGATACAAAACCAAAGCAAAAACAAATCCACAGGAAAACCACCCCAAACGGTAGAGAGCACCGGCAGACTCCCAGGCCTCCACTCTGCTCAGAGGTGAGAAGCTACAGCCTTAGGCCAAAGAAAGGCTGTTCTAGCAACTTGTTTGATGTGGGAATTACAGAGACTCAATATACAACTGGCATAGTAAACACAGAATTTGAAACATCATCACATGGTTCCAGATGTGAATGATAAAACCTATAACACCTTAAGCCAACAAACATTTTTTATACTACTATAAAATGTAGCTTAAAAAAAAGTTTATTCCACATACCAAGAGAATTCATATTGAGTAGTCTTTCCTATAAATGACAGCTCCCACGCCTTACCCCTTCCCAGAATGTGGTATTTATCAGACCACAATGAAAATAAAGTTACTGTTGCTTTAGCCTTCATCAAGAGGAGCATCACCCTCAAGAATATTTAAAAAGTAACCATTTTATACAAAAATAAGAGTTACCCAAATACCTCAAGGTCCTTCAGAAGAGTCAAATTCCAGTTCAAAATCTAGTTAGTAAATATTAAGCATGGATGAATATCTAATCCTAGATTTAATGTTAGCATTAAAGCATTTACACACATTTACACAGCATTTTACACACAACCTAGGAAAATTACAGTTGGCAAAATTTCCAAGGGCAATGAGAGTGTTCCTTTCACTAAAAACTATGGTCAGTGATTAAACTTTCTCAGATACAAATGTTTAAGGGGAGCACTGGCAGGGCGGGGGTGTCTTTAATTGAATGCTAAAAAAAAAAACAAAACAGTTCTGAGTTGTTTTCTTATAAGCTCCAGTTTTAAAGATCATATCTACTGGGCACATCCCTAGCAGATTCTAACATCCTCTCTTCCCCTCCTCCCAATCAATTCTCCGAGACACCCCAAATTCCACCCATTATATGTGGAATCCAAAAACACACTCTGAGACATGAGACCCGAAAGGATCCTCCCTCCTTTTCAACAGGAGCTAATTGCATCTTTGAACACCAGATCTCTACCTTTGCTGCCCACCGAACAGGTTAATGTCACTTACCCAAAGGACTCTCACCTCTATTAACCGTTCTTCTCTATCCTTATCCCTCAGATCTCAACTACCCACTGGGGGGGGAGAGAAGTGCTGCCCACATCCTTCAAGATCATCATCCCAGAAACACCCACTTCAATGTCACCCTCCTAAACCCAAAATTAGTTCTAAATTCAGCTATCAGTACACTCTTCCCCTCCTACCTAACAAAAGTCCCCATGCCAACCCAAATCCCTGTGTGCCCCTCCAAAATGGGTGACCCAGACTAGCCTCAGAAAGTGCTCCTAGGAGGCATCTCATTCTTCTCTCAAATCCCAAAATCACTGCCACCAGAAAGCTATCCTTTCTTCTCTCTTCACAACTTCCCACTCCCATCCCCCCCAAACCTTATTAACTGTCTCCTGAACAGGAGGAGACTTTCTCTCTGGAGGGATAACTGGATCATAGATTTTGAGCAGTAAAAGACCTTCCATCTGATCCAATTCCCTCATTTTACAACCGAGGAAAAGAATACAGAAAGAGGTTAAGTGATTTATCCAAGGTCACACAGGCACTAAGCAGCAGGGGAGGAATTTGAATCCAGGTCCTCTGACTCCAAATCCAGTTCTTTCAACTACATTAACCTCTCCCCGTTTCCCTCTTCCCCAGTTCCAAGTCCCGCATTCTCTTCTTCCCCACCCCAGCCCAGCATAGCTCTCCTCATCCTTTCCCCCAGTCCCGAACCATACTCCTAATTCCCCTCAACCAATCCCTACCCCTTCCCCCGTGCCCCCAGCCAATCCCACTCCTCCCAATCCAGCCCAGCCCCCTCCCCTCCCTCAACCGATCCCAACCCCCCTCCCCAATCCCAGCCCGCTCCCAATCCCCTCAATCTATCCCAGCTCCAGCCCCCTTTCCTTCAATTTCTCCATTCCTGTCAAATCTAACCCCGTCCCTTCAACCCCCTCCCCCATCAATCTCGGTCCCCTTCCCCACAACCCCACTCACCCGTCAAACCCAGGTCAACCCCATCAACCTCCGCCCCTTTCTCCTTAACCCCCTGCCCCATTCCCCCAGCCCTTTCCTCTCAGCCCGCTCCCCTGTCAATCACAGCCCCCTCCCCATCAGACACAGCCTTTTCCTCTCAAACCCTTCGCGAATCTTCCCACCCCCCTCTGCCAGGGCCCCTGTCAATACCAGCCCCCTCCCTCATTTCTGCCAACCCCCTCCCCCACTCCCCTTGTCAATCCCAGACCTCTCCCCCATTTCCCCCCGTCCCTCCCAGACCCTCCCGTTCCCTCCCCCAAGCCCCTCCCCCGTTGCCAGGGCGGGGGTCTAGGGCAGGCCGCAGCCATGGGGGGGGAGGCTGGTCCGGGGCCCGGGCCGGGCAGGGGCTATGAGGGGCCGGGGGCGCCGCGTCCCGTCCCGTCCCCACCGAGCCGCCCTTACCCACCGCTGCTGCTCCTGAGGCGGGGCCGGCTCAGCTCCCGGAGCGAGCGCCCGGACGGAGAAGGCCAGGGGGGTGTGTGAGGCACAAGGGCAGCCGGGAGGCGAGCTGGGCGGGCGGGAGGAGGGAGGGAGGGAGGGAGGACGAAGGGGAGGCCGCTACCGCCGCCGCTGCCGCCTCAGGCTCCCACCTCCGCTGCCGCGCAGCCCAACTCGCCCGCGGGAGGGGGAGGGGAAAGGAGACCGGACGGCTCTCTCGGCCAATCACAGTGCGGAGACTAGGGGAGGCTGGGAAAAAGGGAAAGAAGGGGCGGGACAAAGACCTGCCAACAGGTTCGGATGCGTTCGGAGTGGGGGGCGGAGCTAATGGGGGAGGGGAGGTTGCTGTGAGTGACAGGACCCTCCGGCAACCGGTGAGCTCGGAAAAACCTAGTGGGGAGGGTTATGCAAATGAACCTCATTATTATTCAGAACCGTTATTGACGGATAGAGGCTAGGCCCCGAGGCTATAGGGAGGAGGTGGCGGAGAGTAGAGAGCAGCTGGGAGGTGAAGTACCGAATCTTTTGGCTGGGAGTGAGCAGTGCTTTCGTGACGTGAGACCAGTGTGTTTGAGGTCCCACCGGGGCCAGGTGGGGAGTTCGAATCACTTTCACGGGCTAATGGGTTCGAATTCCACCTCGGGTCCGCTTCCAGTTTCCAGAAGCAGGAGGCTGACCTGGCATTCTGCACCCTCAACGTGACGTAGCGAGAAGGGCATCGGATTTGGAATTAGCGGAGCTAGGTTTGAATCTTGGCTCAGATTCTGTTTTAAAGCGCTTTCCAGCTCTGTGATCTTTTCCCCTCTCTGTGCTCCAGCTTCCTCATCTGTAAAATCAGAGACTTGAACTAGAACTCTGAGGTGCAACGGGCGGAGCGTTGGGTCTGGAGGCAGTCTGCCTCAGTTTCCTCAACTGTAAAATGAGGATAATAACATTATCTGCCTTGCAAGGTTGTTGTGAGGAACCAATGAGATATTTGTAAAACACATCTTAGGTGCTTAATTAATGCTTATTCCCGTCTCCTTCCCCCCACCTCCCTTCCAGTTCTTTATTCCGGGGTCCTATATCAAAGGCAGCGCCTTCCACCCCCAATCCTTTACTCCAAATCCCTGGGAGGGCATAGGGCCTCAGTGAGTGTCTACAGATCTATGCGCTTTCTTTGTTAGCAGAGGGTCAGCTTCCCATCCCCATCAAAGGCTGCTAGTGCTCCTGTGGGGAGAACATGAGCCCTCCGACTGGGCACCCCTGGTGCCAAGCGCTGGTAGCTAGCCCTGACTCCCAGCATGGCCATCCAGCAGATTAAACGGCACCACTCTATAAAGTGCTTTGAGATCCTAAGCTCAGGGTCCATTCCCTAGAGCAAGGGTTGGGGTGGGAGGAAAGGAAGAGTGTGAAAGTCACCTGTTGGAAGGAGGGATTTGGGTGAGATTCTCTCCAGTCCAGGGCCCCGTTTCCCCTACAAACAGCTCCTCTGAAAAGAGCTCTGAAGGAAGGCAGCTAGAGGGACCCGGGGCGAAGCTCAGGGTCCTTAGCCTGAGAGCCTCGAGTTCCCCTCCTCAGAAAAGGCTTTCTCTGCCTAGGATGTTTGAATGAAAAGTAGCTTGTTCTATCTAATGGAAAGTCGCCTGGCTTGGGAGGCAGGGAGGCCGGACTTCTCCCTCCCAGCTCTGCCTTTACATCAGTGAACTCTATGACCTGTCTCTGGGCCTCAGTTTCCTCATCTGTCAAATGAGAAAGTTCAGCTAGATAATCTCTAAACTTCGCCTTCTAAAGCTCCTTCCTATTCTAATCTTCTTTAATTCCGAAAGTCTAGAAATCTTGTCCGGGGCCGGGGGGGGGGGGGGGGGGGGGGGGGGGGGGGGGAAGGGGGAAGGAAGATGGTGTATGTGTATGGGGGGGATGGTTAAAACATAGTACAGCAAAGGAATACTGGCTCAAGGGTTAGAAGAACTGGGTTAAAATTCTGCCTCTGACATTTAATAATACACACTTTACATATATCATCTCATTTGATTTTTACATATATTATCTCACATTTAACTCCCTTGTGACCTTGGGCAGGTCAACCTTGTTAGGTCTTTCTTTCCTCATCTGTGAAATAATAATAATTATAATAATAGAAGACATTATACAGTACCTACTATGTGCCAGGTACTGTGCTAAGCACTTTACAAATATTATTTTTTTTTCTTTTTTTGAGGCAAACAGGTGACTTGCCCAGAGTCACACAGCTAGTGTCTGAGGCCAGATTTCAACTTGGCTCTTCCTGAGCCTATGCTCTAGCCATTGTGCCACATAGCTGCCCCTATTTTTTCATTTTATGAGATAAAAAAGTTAATGGCCACCAGATATGAGGCCTCATGCTATTCCCATAGTGGAGTTTCATTGAGCATAAGACTGCCTGTGTGTATATGTATATGTGTGTGTGTGTGTGTGTGTGTGTGTGTTTCATCTACCTGCCCATGACCTTCCCACATGACCCTACACTTTGCTCCCACCTCCACAGCCAGGTCTCAGCAACCCTCACTGCAAGATCTCCGTTGGTGCTTTCAGTTAGAAGCTAGATCTCCTACCTAGCAGAGATGTTCAATCAGGCACCCAGAGGGACACACCAGGGCTCTCTTCTCTTTCAAGGCTATGAAGCTAGTGAAAAGTAGACCAGACTAGCAGCTGGGAGGCCTGGTCTGCCTTGTCTTGGCTCCCCCACAACACTGTCCAAGCTGGCCCTCTCCCATGGCACCTGGTACAGGGCTGAGACACAGCAGCTATCAGTATTTGTTGAATGGGTGAGTATCTGGCTCTGCCACTGACTCACTATGTGACCTTGACTAAGTCCTTTCCCCAGTTTAGGCTGATCCCTCTAACAGTCAGTTCATAAGCATTTATTAAGCACTTACTGTGTGCCAGGCACTGTACTAAATACTGGGGATTCAAAAGAAGGCAAAAGACAGCAGAAATAATGCCTGCCATGCCCTCTCCTAGAGTTGTTATGAGGGATTGGGCTTGGATTTCATCTTTCCTGATTCTGTCTCCTTCAGAAGCAAGGACTCTGGGGACTGGGCTATACAATGAATACCTGGGTCCCCCAGATTTGGCTTCTGATTTTCATCTGTGCCCAGGTTCTATCAACTGCTGCCACCCCAGAGCCCTCACCTTGAACCCCACCCCACTGTATATACAGGGCTCCAGGGCTCAGCTGCCTGGGATGGGTGGGGGGAGCATCAGGGGGATGCTGAGATTCTTCAAACTACAACTTGAGCTTCTTAGTTTATCCCCAAACCTCCTTCAAGATCCCCAAGCTCCGTTCCTTTAAACCTCTTCCTCTTCTTCCTCGAGGCCCAGAATTTCCTCCCAGGAAATGTTCAGGATGTCTCTGAGGGCTTGGAAACTACTCCCAGCTCCCTCCCCCTTACCCTCTATATCCAATCAGTCATCAAGGCCTGTTTCTTTCTATCTTTCTGCTCCTCTCCATGTCCACTAGTCCAGGCTCTCAACACCTTTGGCCTGGGCTATTGAAACAACCTCTTCACTGGATTGGGGGAAAGGCCCAGAGATGCATGGTCAACTCAGTCTCCAAATCTGAGCTGGCCAACAATGGAATGAGCTTCCTCGGTAAGGTAGTGAGTTCTCCATCACTGGAAGTGTTCAAAAAGCAGAGGCTGGGACGACCTTGTCTGGGATGTTGTAGAGGAGACTTGCACAGGGTGGAAGGTCAGGCTAGGCAACAGTCATAATTAACAGCTGCTATTTCCATGACGCTCTGAGGTTGGTAAAGTGCCTTCCATACATTGTCTCTCTTGGGTCTCACAACAACCCCATGAGGGAGATGACCCTCATGGCTCTGACTTCAGACTCGTGACTCCCTCCACCAATCACCCACTAAGCCTGCTGCCTGCCTAATATTCTTACAGCTTCACTCTCTGCTTGGATTAGGCCACCTCTGTGGTCCATTTTAGTACGGCTGTTCTTTGGTCACAGGGCCCTTCCAGCTCTTGGTTCTGGGAGTCTATGACACAGAACACATTCAGAGAGATGGAGCTATTGAGAGAGACAGAGGAGAAGGGGAAGGAAGGAGGGAAAGAAGGAAGGAAGAAAGGAGGGAAGAAGGGAAGGGAAGAAGACAGGAAGGAAGGAAGGAAAGAGGGAAGGAAGGAAAGGAGTGAAGGAAGGGAAGGGATGAGGGAAGGAGAGAAGGAGGGAAGGAAGGAAGAAAGGAAAGAGGAAAGGAAGAAAAGGAGGGAAGGGATGATGGAAAGAGGGAAGGGGGAGGGAAGGAAAGAAAGAAGAAAGGAAGGAAAGAAGGCAGGAAGGAAGGAAAGAGAAAAAGAAAAGGAATGAAGGAAGAAGGGAAGGGATGATGGAAGAAGAGAAGGAAGGAGGGAGGGAAGGAAGGAGGGAAGAATAGAAGATGGGAAGAGAAAAGTAAGGAAATTGTAGAGTGAGAAAAGGAAAAAGGGAAGTGAAAGTAGGAAGAGAGGGAGGAAATCAGGAATAGTGTGAGCTGAGGCCAGTCAACAATCCCCAGGAGTCCGAGGTGCCTGAGGAGGTGACTGGTCTGGCTGGCCCTCTGGGGTACCCACGACCCCTAGTGGTTGAACTTGTTATGGATAAAAAGACAAAGATATGAAGACAATTTGGGGAGAGACAGAGGGCGGGAAGAGAGAAGGACAATGGAGAAACAGAGATGGAGAGCCTAAGCGAGAGCTTCCCTCTCCTAGTAGTGGGGAAGCCCCTCAATCCCCTCCCTTCTATGTCTCTCCTGGGTTCAGCGATGCCCTGGCTCACAATTCTTTGTGGCTGGCATCCCTCACCCTGAGCGGGGTGGCCTGGACTCCTGGGTTCCCTGCCTTTTCTGCTTCCTAAAGGGGAGAGGAACTACTGAGGGCAGGGCCCAAGACAACCCCCACCCAGGCCTCGGTGTCTCTGCCTCCCCTTTCATCTCCTCAGTCCCAGCCCAGCTGCAGCTTGGTTGCACAAGCATGCCTGGGAAGCAGATGGTTGCCAGGGCAACAGGCTGATGACGCAGTCTTCGATCTGTGCCCCGTGAGGGG